TGCTTATGGTGTGTGTTTTTCTTTTACATATGTAATGAATTTCAATGTAATCGTTGACTTAACTCACTGCTGTTTTCTACAGCAGTCTTTCTTGGGATGATTCTTTATTTCAGGTAATAAAAAAGTGGAATACTAATTTTAGATTGTGAGTCCGGATCTTCACTGAAGGGATTAAAAAAATCAGTTATATCAGCCCATACAGCTATATTTATAGGGCTAGGCCACACCCACTTTGGCGCGAAGGTGATGCACTGGGCGCGAAGTTCCCCCATTGGACCGTCACCAAAGGGCCTCTCTCGATAGGCTGTTGCCGTTTCCGCAGGACAGCCAATAGGCACGTGAGCCGCCTTGTCTGCATGCTGCCGCATTGCTTTTTACGTTAATTGAAAATTTTTGGCTTCAAGATCTCGTGGAAAAGAGGTTTTCCCCTAGCGTAAGATATTAAAACCTCTTGTAAGAGAACACAGAACCCCCTGCTAGTATAGAAACAAATCTTTGTGAAGGCTACAATCACAGAGGACAAAGATGTGGTGTGTGACCTATTTTCATAGCTGTGTTGTTATGCATTCAGGGGATTCAATATGTAGGCTATGTATAATTAAGTAAACCAAAAACTAAATATTAAGTGATTTCAGACTTCAAGTAAAACAGTATTTTATTGAATATAAAATTGGATGGGAGAATGCAGTGTAGGGGGTGCTCTGGTGGCAGCTTCGCTGTTTTTCTAAATGGAAGGGACTAATCAGGGCTCACGACTGGCTGCTGCAGGACAGTTCAGGTGCGCATCTCAGGGAACTTACTCGCTTCTTCACAGCGAGAAGCCTACAGAGGACTTACGGCTGGGGAGCTTCACTGCAAAGCAGTCAGGTGAGTACACAGGCACATTATCCTCTTCTTCGCATGTAATCCTCTTCTTCTACAGGTGACCAACAGAGAACTTACGGTTGGAGGTCTTCACTGTAAAGCAGTCAGGTGAGTATACAGGCACACAATCCTCTTCTTCGCATGTAATCCTCTTCTTCTACAGGTGACAGACAGAGAACTTATGGCTGGAGGTCTTCACTGAAAAGCAGTCAGGTGAGTATCAGGTGAGTATTCAGTTACATAACCCTCTTCTTTGCACGTAATCCTCTTATTTGCACGTAATCATCTTCTTCTGCAGGTGACAGACATATAACTTATGGCTGGAGGTTTTCACTGAAAAGCAGTCAGGTGAGTATACAGGCACATAACCCTCTTCTTTGCACGTAATCGTCTTCTCCTACAGGTGACAGACAGAGAACTTATGGCTGGAGGTCTTCACTGAAAAGCAGTCAGGTGAGTATACAGGCACATAACCCTGTTCTTTGCACGTAATCCTCTTCTACAGGTGACAGACAGAGAACTTATGGCTGGAGGTCTTATTCTATAAAGCATATTATAAGAAAAATAAAATCATATTATTTTATGCAAGGCAAAAGACATTTCCATCATGCGAAATAACCAATGCAGACTGATGCATTTAGCTGACTGACTTGTTGGGTCAATATCGGTTCATCAACATGAATAACGATAAAAATCTGCTAATCAATCTTGTGAATCTATCTCTAGTACAAAGCCTCTTATGCTTCATAGTTGATTTCTTTTTTATTTTCACTGGATATGGGTGGTCAGTTATAATGTATTCAAACAATATTCCCATAATTCTTGTGTAGATTTGTTTTCACTGGAATAGCCAAGCCAGTTACAGTTACATTATTTAATTACAAGGGCGTCAACATACTTTTGGCCATATTTAGTAAATACTTTATATTCCTTACATCAAAAATTAAGGTAGGCAGATGAATGTTTTACCTAGATTTCTGTATTTATTTCAATGTGTCCCTATTTGTATGCAACATTTTTTTTTTAAGACTCAAGAATCAACACATCTCATCTTTTATTTGGAAAAAAGGACCAGCCAGAATTCATAGAGAAATATTGTACCGCACTTTAGATTCCATTTCCGAACCAATTATGGTCTTCAGCGCTTGCCTGTAGATTCACCTATAAATCGTAACCCTTTTTCCCCCTTCACTTAATGACAATAAAGCATTACATATTTGGCAGAGAGGTAATTTCAGTTGTCAATGCTATTTACATTGTTAATGTTTTTCCTAGCTTTTTTCAATTGAAACAAACAATCTCTCATGACTGGTGCACAATTTATTTATTTTTTTTTTTGATATTTGTACCTCAGATTTTCCAAATCAGATTTTTAATGTAGCCTTAGAAAAAAGGGGTGCAAAAAAGGATGCAACTAATCAGCATGTAATAGAATTTTATGATTGTGTTAAGTTAGTTTTGTATGTCTGTTAGTTGCTTATAGTTATTTTTCTTGAACCATAATTAATAGTAGTTCTTCAGGAGGTATGACAGAATTCAGAATTCCATTACATACTGATTAGTTAACACATCTTACCTAGTAGTTAACAGCAGTGAAGAAGTAGTTAATGAAGAATTACCACTAGTTCTTCAGTAATTCCTTATTAGTTTTGCAGTAAGTACAGTATTCTACAGTATTCCTGCCCCCGGGAACGCCCCGTCACGTGATGTGAATTTAGCCCGTCGGGGAAAACATTGCCTTGGCGCTCATTGAAATATACGACAATCATGCCGAAGAGTTGCTGTGTCGTTTTTTGTACCACCAATAAACTAACAAATTACAATAAACACACAGAACCGGATAGGAGGAAAAATGGCAAAATTAATCATAACTTATTAGATTACCGTGTTAGGAGATCCCTCTGCGATATAGTAGTCGGTGTTAAACTCGTATTAGGCAGTGGGCCAGATTTGTCTGACGTTACATCCCTTACGAAAAAGAATTATAGATATCCAATGGTTATAAGTATTCTATAGTAGTGTATAATACTTCTGTGATGTTCTGTAATACTAGCCTAGCAGTAATACTATACTGCTAGGCTATGTCCCAAAATACTACAGTATTCCATAGGATTAACGTTACTATAATATTTTGTCCTAAAATACAACAAGATTCCTATAGTTGTTTTTTATAAGGGATGTCTCATTCACATTAGTGTTTTCAGCTGAAGGTTATCAACTCAATACAGAATGCAGTCTGTGAGAATTCGTATAAATGTCAGCAAAGTCCCATGGCAACTTCGTAGCTACTACTACTGATCACCGTTTTACAAAAGGATTAATAGTTAATAGTTTGGAGTGAAGCATATGTACAGTTGGTAAGTGACAAGGTTTTATGGACTTATAGTAACTTATACACAAGTTGATTGAGTTATAGACTAATGTTACCACTACAGCTACCGCAATGTCTTAACTGGAGATTCAACCAGATAACAATAGTCTGGAAACGACATTTCCGGCCATTTGGTTGGGTCATTGACCCAGCTTTTAATTAAATAAGGGCAATACTAAACTTATGGCAGTTCATTTTGCAATGTGCCGTTGCTGGTCGGCAGGCGTCAATGACTCGCAATGTGACATTTTTGTCATTCAAATACATACTATGGTCGCAGTGCTTTCCCCCACGCCAAACACGCCCCCCAACTATGACGCGTTGCCGACTGTATGTTTGCCTGACACAAATTGCAGTGACATCTCATCTCTTCTCAGATACTGGCTGGGCCCTATCTTGCACCCGCCGCAAATGACTTTATACACAAACGCATTTATCATTCCTATTTTGCACCAGCGCAAATCGGCTTTCCCTCCACAGACACACGTCGGTAAACTAGGGAATGAGCTTGCGCTCCCTGGGCGGGTTGTCGCAAAAAAGGAGCCGTGTTTCGGCGCAAACATTCCCCGGTGCTATTTTGCAGTTCCAGAAAACAATTGCGCCACTGACCAGAAAAAACCTAGTCTAAAGTCAGTGGCGCGTTGCGCGTACTTTTAGATGCTATTTTAAGCATGCATGCTTGGCCATAATACAGAGTGAACAACACGCATACACTGTAGATGATTCTCTCATCTACACAGATCTATTTTACTTTTTGCAAATGATACATTATTATAACGAAAACTATTAAAACCCGAGGGAAATTATTGTTGTGTTCATGACAATGGGAAAAATAGAAGATTACACGTTTACCCAAATTATTATAGGCTATGCATGTTTAACCAAAGCTAATTTGGGTTTGTTTGTCCTATCCCCAATGTCACTTCTCTTTCTTTTACAGCCCTGACGAGAACATCGATCTTCTCGGCTGTGAACCTATTGTGAAGCGCGTCTGGTAAATGCGCCGTTATAATAGTATTGCGCCATAGAACAAGCGCATCTCGTTCATCGCGCTCTTAAAGGGAATGTGATATGACGCTCTGATTGGTTTATTTCCGTTACGCCCAAACCACACCAATGAATAATGAAGCTATTTCAAACCAACCCCTTTTAGATTTGCGCCAGGCGCAAGAGACATTTATGCTGCCGGGAAAATAGCAACAGCGCCGGGATCCGCCCACAAAGTTACTTGCGCTTTGCGTTTTGACACTTGCGTTTCAGATCGTTAAAATAGGGCCCAAAAACTCTTCCCCCTTTAAACATTTTTAAAAATCTTTTATTGACCAATTTAAAGGAAACGTGTGCATATTTTGTAAAGTAACTTTTGTTTATTTTATGAGCACTGGGTAAAATTGTATGTAAGATTGAGTTTTTTGTCTGTATGGTAATATAAGTGAAACTTTTTTGTGCTGCCATTTTGGCCAGGACTCCCTGGAAGAAGAGATAGTCCCTCTCAATGGGACTATCCTGGTAAAATAAAGGATAAATAAATAAATCCTGGGAAAATAGCAACAGCGCCGGTATCCGCCCACAAAGTTACTTGTGCTTTGCGCTTTAACACTGGCGTTTCAGATCGTTAAAATAGCGACCTGTCACTGACATTAGATCCAATCAATCCAATCAATTCTGCATGGACAAAATCAAGCCCTGCCCTACATTTTTTATTGTTCCAGATGCCATGCCACTCGGAAATATGTCACAATAGGGAAGAAAATGCAATCCCAACTTCCGTTTCATGCTAACTTTAATATTGCAGTTTGTCAAACTTCCTTTTAAATAAAATTATAGGACAATCATTTTTTTTATTGAAAGGGTTACATAGAGTAGCTTTAAAAACAATCACACTAAACAATCACACTATAGATATTGATACAGAGACGACTGGTAGAGATTGAGAGCAAGCAATTTGGAGTAAAAAATAAAATAAAACCTACACCACTGTTTAAACAATATGCCCTCTAAATTGTATGAATACACTTCTAAATACAGCATATTTTTATACTTTTTAGTAATTTATATATTACCTATATGTAAAATTTTTTAACAAACATTTTTTTTTTTTTACATTTAACATTTAAAAGTAACATCTTGATTCACGTGTAACCGTTCTATTTCATCCCTTTTTTAAAACCGAAATGTTTCTGGTTCTCGTGCTGGTGTTTTGCTGAAATCTGATGTGCTGAATGGTGTACGGTGGGGAACTGTGAACCTCAGGCTGCTGCCCCAAGTTTCTCATAGCCGAAAGTTGTGACGTCCTTATAACCTGCTCATAAACAAACAGAAAACATTTTAACATCCAAAGTAATTATATAAAACATTATATATATAACATTTTATAACAAGTAAAATAAAGTTATTTTATTTTATGCAAGGCAAAAGGCATTTCCATCATGCAAAATAAACAATGTAGACTGACTTGTTGGGATATAAGAATCGATATCGGTTCATCAACATGAATAACGTTTAAAATCTGCAAATCAATCTTGTGAACCTAGCTCTAGTACAAAGCTGTTATGGTTTATAGTTTATTTTTGTTTTTATTTCCACTGTATATGGGTGGCAAAGCCATATATGTGTGAATATAAAGTATGTGTGGATACTTATGTAAAGTTTTGTTTGTTGATGATGTGCATACACTATATATAGTCAAAATGTCTAAACTTTAACATATATTCTATACTTAAGACTTTGTATTACAAAATGTATCAAGATAATTTATTTTCCCTCTTGGGTGGTGGGGAGGGGGGGTATCCTAGTATATGCCCATACAGGACATTAAAGGTGATGAAAGCATTGATATAATACAAAATTCAATTACACTCACCACAGCTTGGAACGCAGACATTAGATTTATGTCGCAAAAGTGTGGTACCACTTGGGCAGTAACATCCCTCCCGTTGCATGGATTTAAAATTACTTAATGCATTATCTTTTATTGCATTATTGTTTAGATTAAATCTAAAATCATACAAAAAAAAATGTTTAATCATTTGCATCCAACTTCCCTTTTCTATCTTGCAAATTATATATATATATATATATATATATATATATATATTAATTTCATATACCTTCCATCACAGGTTGGTTCCACTTGAGGACCACATGCTAGATATATCTGTGGCATTTTACATTTAAAATCTGAATGAAAAAAAAATGGTAATGTGTGTTGATAAATACAATAAAAGTTATTCTGCTGCACTTCTGTTAAGATAATAAATATACCGACCACACATTCCATTGGTAGCATCTCTCCAGTCAACACATACTCCTGCCATAGCACATTTCTTAGCATAGGCCTCCAGTCTGGCACAGCCAACTGTTTCGTTGTTCATGTTACACACATCAATGTTACAAGCTGACACATAGGGCTCATAAGGGACAAATTTATGGCATTTCTCAAAAAGCCTGTTGAGTTTTTTTAAAATAAATTGTTAATAGAGGAAAGCACAACTTTTTGGAAATGTTCATTAACTACATAATATGAGTAGTTGAAAATATATTCACAAACCAGTATTACTTTAGTCATATATGCTGTTATTCTTGTTTTTAAAGAATAGTTTAATGACATGCTTACTTGCGTTCGAAGATTTTGCATATTGCAGAAGAAGGGCATGGCACTGATATGGACCGATGTCTTGGTGACAGAAGGGTTTTGTTGTTGTTGTTTTTGTTGTTGTTGTTGTTGTTATGAACATTCCAATATGGAGCCATTTCTTGGCAAGATGATATAATGGTGCCATTTGGCAAGCGACAATCATTTTTGTGGTTATTATCACAAATACCTAAAAAGACCAAATCAGAGGTTAAAAAGTCCCTGAATACAAGACTTACTGTAGACAACATATTAAATAATCCCAATATTTCATTACACATTCACACAATATCACTTTAAAAAAGAAGAATGATTTACTGTGCAACCAGACAACCTAGCAATGTAATTTATTCTGTACATAATCTTTTCAGCAAGACTGTAAACCTACCACAATGGCCTTCTGTGTTACCGTGGAACTTTTGCCATGGGAGGTTGATGGAAAACATTGTGCCATTAAAAGAGATCTGTGCACCAATCTCAGATATGACCACAAGAGACTCTTTGCCGTTCTCTGTGGCACTGATATCTTTAATTTGAAATGGCAACTTCACTTCCTTGTGGTTAACATAAATCTAAAAAAAAAGGAAAAAAACAATCAAAGCATAAACTTATATGTCCCGAACATTCCATTTTATGGTACTTATCTTTATGTAAGCCAGCTGTGAAAATAAAGTGCAGCAAAAAAAAAAAAATATCCCAACCCATCTTCTGCTCTGCCAATATTAATTTTTGTGTGTATTATTAATAATGCAAATTTTGTCATTTAGATTAACAGCTATTTAACAACTTGGTTGGAGATGGTGGTAGATAAGTCAGCATGCATGTATATTATACTGTACATGTGTGTGCCAGATCATTTGAATGGACTACATAGCAAATGTTAAAAGGAATTTGTCACAGAAGGAATCTGAAATATAGATTTAAAAAAAAAGCTTATTTACCAAATTCATTACACTTCCACCAGAAAACCTCTGAGTCATGATGATCTCAGAAGATTTGTAATGAACCTTCAGGGCTTTGGGACAGGAAATACTTTCTTCAAAATCACAGATATTAACAACTATAGCACTAAAATTATATGTTGTATAAATTTCTTGCACAAGCACATAAGTGGAGTTTCCTTGAAAAGGGTAATATTTTCCATCAAATGTGACATAATGTAGGTTGAGAAAGCCACTGCAGACACCTGAAACATATACCGTTTACAAATTAACATATACAGTTAATTTGTGTAGTGAAAAAAAAGCTTTGAGGTAGTAACTCAATACTTCAATTGAACTTAGAAAGCCATTAACTTACATTGGCACTCATATTTAAAACAGCATCCAGACTCATCAGGAACTTTAATGGGGGGAAATTTGTTATCACACACAGGATGCTCTACAGGATCACACTGTACTGGTTTATGCTCTATTGTGCCATTTATGCATGTGTCTATATAGCAATTTCCCACAAGAATAGATACACCATTCTAAAAAAAGAAAAAAGAATAGTTATTAAGTGGTGTTGTGTTAAAGCAAAATCTGGATTATATAAAATGTTTTGCATGAACCTTAATTATACAGTAATAATTGTTATACAGTAATTATACAAGTACTTACTGTAAGGGGAGGCATATATCCATCACAGTTGTGACCTGAAGGCAATATTGTTGTTAAACAGGGTTGTGATAATTTTATCACATCACACTTCTTCTCTTCTGTTTTTACACATTTAGCAATGTAACACCATCCATCACCATCAGTTTTATTGTAAATTTCTGATTCTGTGGAGAAAGAGGTTACGATAAAACGTTCATTATTGAATATGCATTTTATTTATTAGGACAACAAAATAATTATAAATAAATGTATATACAGTATATTAAAAAGGTTTTTAGAAAAGTAGAGAAGAAAAAATAGATTACCTGGCTTAAACGTACTGCCATAAATCTCACAGACACAATCTTGATGTGCAGTTTTGTGACCTCTTAATGAACCTGTGATAATTGGCAGACTTGGTGTGGTAATAATTGTGCTGTGGGAAAAATACTGATCTGTTTGTGAAATTTTTGATGATACTCCACATAATCCATGACAACATAATACTTTAATCTCGTAATCAAAACATTGCTGAGTAACACCTTGGTTCTTGTTTAAGCAAACTAGTCCATCTTTAGTATTGCATGTTACTACCTGGCCCAGTTGTGAAAGTAGTAGTCCAGGGAAAAGTTTTGCATGGCATTCAACCTCAGTTGGAGCAGAGCAGGTGTTAACAAATGTGTTCGTTATTGTTTTTATTGGTACAATTTCACCACCTTCAGGCCCTGTTGTTGGGCTGCCAAAGTCCATCCAGTCGGACCACTGGCAAATACATTTAGAAGGGATAATTTTTGAAAGGGTTTTAGTCATATCTCTTGTTGTGGGTACAGTGGTTGTGCTTACTCTTGTGGAGGAATTGTGTAAAGCTCGATTCAGTGCTGCTGGTAGAGATGCACCAACACAATCACGATGACAGCACAACAATCTCATCTCGTAGTCAAAGCACTGCTGGGTAATATTTTGGTTTTTATTTAGGCAAACAAGTCCATCTTTAAGATTACACTTTACCACCTGGCCAAGCTTTGAAACAGGAAGTCCAGGATAATGTTTTGCACGGCATTCAATTCCATGTGGTATTGAGCAGGTGGTTGGAAAGGAATCAGTGATGATTTTGACTGGTATTAGTTTACCTCCTTCAGGCCCTTCTGTTGGGCTGCCAAAGTCCACCCATTTTGACCACTGGCAAATACATTTAGAAGGTTTTTTGTTTAAAATGGTTGTAGTCATAGCTCTTGTTGTGGGTACAGTGGTTGTGCTTACTCTTGTGGAGGAATTGTGTAAAGCTAGATTCAATGCTGCTGGTAGAGATGCGCTGACACAGTCTCGGTGACAGCACAACAATCTCATCTCGTAGTCAAAGCACTGCTGTGTAATATTTTGGTTTTTATTTAGGCAAACAAGTCCATCTTTAAGATTACACTTTACTGGCTGGCCAAGTTTTGAAACATGAAGTCCAGGATAATGTTTTGCACGGCATTCAATTCCCTGTGGTTTTGAGCAGGTGGTTGGATAGGTGTCAGTGATGAGTTTGACTGGTATTAGTTTACCGCCTTCATGCCCTTTTGTTGGGCTGCCAAAGTCCACCCATTTTGACCAATGGCAAAAACATTTAGAAGGAAATGTTTTTGAAATGGTTGTAGTCATAGCTCTTGTTGTGGGCACAGTGGTTGTGCTTACTCTTGTGGAGGAATTGTGTAAAGCTAGAGTCAATGCTGCTGGTAGAGATGTGCTAACACAGTCTCGGTGACAACACAACAATCTCATCTCGTAGTCAAAGCACTGCTGTGTAATATTTTGTTTTTTATTTAGGCAAACAAGTCCACCTTTAAGATTACACTTTACCTCCTGGCCAAGCTTTGAAACAGGAAGTCCAGGATAATTTTTTGCACGACATTCAATTCCTTGTGGTATTGAGCAAGTGGTTGGATAGGTGTTAGTGATGATTTTTACTGGTATTAGTTTACCGCCTTCCTGTCCTATTGTTGGGCCACCAAAATCCATCCATTTTGACCAATGACAAATGCATGGAGAGGTAGGTCGAGTTGGTTTTGATGTATTTGAAGGTCTAGAAGTTTCTGAAGGTGTACTTGATGTCGTTGTTGAAGCTGACAACTTAGGAATGGTTGTTGGTGCCTCTGTGGAGTTGTCACATTTTCCATGACAGCATAATACTCTGATATCATAGTCAAAGCATTGCTGGGTAATATCTTGATTTTTGTTAAGACACATGAGCCCATCTTTTGCATTACATATCACAACCTGGCCTAGCTGTGAAAGAGAAAGTTCAGGGTAAAGTTTTGACCGGCATTCTAATTCTTTTGGTGCTGAGCAGATAGAAGGATAAGAGTCAGTTATTCTTTTGATCGAAATTATTTCTCCACCTTCAGGACCGGTTGTTAAGCTACCAAAATCCATCCAGTCTGACCAATGGCATTTACATCCAAGGGCAGGAGTAGGCAATGGTATTTTTGGTGTCAGCGCTGTTGTACTGCCACAGATTCCATCACAGCAGAATACTCTAATCTCATAATCAAAGCATTGCTGTGTTATATCTTGATTTTTGTTAAGACACACAAGCCCATCTTTTGCGTTACATATCACAACCTGGCCAAGCTGTGAAAGAGAAAGTTTAGGGTAAAGTTTTGCACGGCATTCTAATTCTTTTGGTGCTGAGCAGATGGAAGAAAAGGTGTCAGTTATTCTTTTGATGGAAATTATTTCTCCACCTTCAGGACCGGTTGTTACGCTACTGAAGTCCTGCCAGTCTGACCAATGGCATTTACATCCAAGGGTAGGAGTTAGCAAAGGAATTTTTGGTGTCAGAGCTAAGGTACTGCCACAGTTTTCATCACAGCAGAATAATCTAATCTCATAGTCAAAGCATTGATGTGTGATGTCTTGGTTTTTGTTCAGGCACACAAGACCATCTTTGGCATTACATTTTACAACCTGGTTTAGCTGGGAAAGAGACAATCTGGGGTAATTTTTTGCACGACATTCAACTTCTTTTGGCACAGAGCAAATGGTAGGATAACTGTCCAAAACTGTTTTGATTGACACTGTTTCACCACCTTCAGGACCTGTTGTTGGGCCCCCAAGATCCAACCACTCTGACCAACGACACATGCAGCCAGGTTTAGTAGTAAGTGTGGCTGTTTTGGATAAGGGAGATGTTGTTGAAGCAGTTGATAGAGATTTTGAAATCATTGGAGTTGTGTATATGCTAATACCACTGGGGAAATTTGGGGCTGTTTGTGTTGTAGACGGCAGGGTAGGCATGATAGTTGACAAAGTTGGTATTGAAATTATGGATGTGATTGTACTTGCAGAAAAACGCTCGCTTGTTTTTATTGTATTTGGGATACAGATGTTGTACCTGATGAAACCATAGTGGCGGTTGGACATTGTGTTGTGATGCTGCTATGGTTTCCAACACAACAAAGCACTCTAATCTCATAGTCCAAGCATTGCTGTTCAAGGCCTTGGTTTTTGTTGAAGCAAACCAGTCCATCTTTCACATTACATTTCACAACCTGTCCAAGCTGTGAAAACGGAACTCCAGGGTAAAGTTTTGCACGGCATTCTACATCCTTTAGTGATGTGCAGATGGGAGAATAGGTGTCAGTTATTTGTTTAATATGTACTATTTCACCACCATCAGGTCCTGTTGTTGGGCCACCAAAATTACTCCATTCTGACCAACTGCAGATACACCCAGGGGTAGGAGTAAGGGTAATGGAATCTGGTGTTATGGAAGTTGGAGAAATTGTTAAAGAACTTGCGGTAGATGTTACTGAAATTGTAGTTATGCTTGTATAAGTTGAGGAGCTTTGGACAGTTGTCGTTTTAGTTGATGGTATAGGTAAGCTTGTTAATGGTATAGGCAAGCTTGTTGATGAGATCCAAAAAGCAGTTGGAGTTGTGTATTTTGTTGAGAAGTTGCCACATTTGCTGTCACAACAGAA